CCCCCCCGCAATTCTCTGGGGTGGGTGGTCACTGCGGGGGGTGTCCTCCAGAAAGCCTGATGCATGCCAAGGGGGGCAGGGGGCTGCGGTTCGGGAGTGAGGGGCACCGGCAGGGGCAGGCGGGGGCCACCTACCAGCCGGATCTCAGGGACCGAGCGCCCGAGGGTCCATTCCTGGCTGCTGGCCAAGGTCTCTGGGGGGAAAACAGAGGGGGTGAGACCAGACAGAGCCCCCTTCCCCCCCAACTGCTGCCTCCCCAGCCCCCAGGCCAGGCAGCTCCAAGGGGCTCAGGCAGACATGGGCGCATGGAGTGGCCTGGGCCCAGCCTGGGCCCTGGTACCCCCTGCCTGTCACAGTCCTGGTGCCCCTGAGGGGGCAGCTCATGGGGGGCTGCAGTTCTGTGCGGCGCCACAGCTGCTCCCCACCAGAGCTGGGGACATCATCCCTGCCCCGCGGCCCTGGCGCACACCCTGCATGCTTACACTGCACACATGGACATGCTACATACCTGCATTGCACACACATGCAGGACACGCTCACTGCACGCACATATAGTGCGTTCTCCATGTACTCGTCTGATGCATGCGCCTGGCATACATACAAATGCACTGCACACCCACATGTGGTGTGCACGCGTGCTGCACATGCACACGGAGCACACGTACACGCACTGCATGTGCTCACTGCACACTCATGCTGCGCAGTACCACTGCGCACACACACATTATATGCACACAGCAAAAGCACACCCAATGCACCTACATACTCAAGTGCTGCACACACGCACACACCACATTCACACATAGGGCCTGCTCACGCACACTTACTGCAGCCACCACATATGACGCCCATTCTTGTGTGTTCACCCAGGGCACACAAAGGGCACGCGCACCTGCTGCACACAGACAGTGCAGGCCGCCCGCATGCACACACAGGGCACATGCCTGCACACACTGCAGGCATACACTTGTGCTCAGTGTCCCAACTCCTTTAGAGGAGTGGAGTTCGGGCACTTGGTTCCTATCCCAGCTCAAGAAGGGAAGTGGGGCCCGAATGCCTGGCTTCTGTCCGTAACATGTCCTGGGCCCTGGCGCAGCCTATGCCAGCGTGTGGATATACACGTGTGTGCACCCTCCCGTGCACCCTCCTGGATCCCCTACAGCCCCCTGCCCCATGCTAGCATGTGAATCTACACGCATGTGCCCCCCTACCAGGCATTGGGGGGGGGCGGAAGGTGATGCCCAGGTGCTCAAGTCCTGCCACAAATGTCGTGACATGGCAACTCCAGGTGCCACACAGCACACACATGCATACACACAGAGTCCAGCTGCCCCACGCCCCTCCGCCAACACATGACAGGGAGCGGCTGGTCCCCTGCTCCATTTCATGCATGGAGGGTTTCCTAGGAGACACCCCCCCCCTCTCTTGGGGGTGGGGCGGGGGGGGGGGGGGGGGGGGGAGGTTCCAAGGGGCATCTGTGTGTGTGTGTCAGGGGGGGTGCATGTGTGTGGATTTTGGGGTCTCCCTGGCCCCGATGGATCCGTGTGCTCTAAGCCAAGGTGCCCCCTGCAGCTGGTCCCCTGGAACATGTAGGGATCACGCTTGTCACAGACGTGTACAGCCCCTGGCGCAGCACGTGGCCAGGTCTGTGGGCAAGCAGCCTACAGGACCCCCACCCCCGGCAGCCCCTGGGCTGGCACCTTCAGTGCCAGAGCCCCCCACCCTAGACGCATGCACACATGTGTGTGCACACTCAAAGGCGCCCCGTGAACACACAGGCTGGGGAAGCCCCCCCCACGCACGCACGTCTGTCATCACAGCCATACACAGGCGCACGCCCACACATACATGCGCACACTGGGGCATGCACCCACGCACACACGGGCAAGTGCACACGGATGCTCCCCCCCACGCTTGCCTGCCTGGGAACACGCCAGCGCACGCACAGGCATGCACACGCACACGGAGGCGCCCACACACTTGCCTGCAGAGGCACACACAGGCTTGCACATGCAGATGCCAGTGCACACGATGGCTCCCACATACTTACACACACACATGCAAACAGGCACACGCATGTACACATGTACAGAAGCACCCTTGCACATGCAAGCACCCATACCCAAGCACACTCAAGTGGGTGTATACACAGATGTGTGCGCACACACACGCATGCTTGCACACCCCAGAGTATGCAAGCACACACATATGCGTACACACACAGGAACATTCAAGCATGTGCATACACGCAGCATGCTCCCACACGCAGGCACACACAAGCATGCGTGCGCACCCGGGTGCACAGAATCACATCTACATGCACACACTGACATGCTTGCACACACAAGCATGTATACTCACATATGCAGCCGAGTTTACACACATAAACGTGCTTGCATGCACACACATGTGCAAACACACCCGGGGTGACAGCATGGGGCAGGTCCAGGTTGCAGTTCCATTGCACCCCATTACACCGCCCTGCGGGCCCCCCCAGCACAGATCCACCCTAGAGACAACTTCCTGCCCCTCAGCCTTGAAGGTCAAGGCCCTCAACAGTCCTGTTTCCCCTCCCCCACCAATGCCACCATCACACAGAAGGGGAAACTGAGGCAGGGAGTGGCACTGTCACTCCCCAGAGGGTGGCAGAATGGGGAATTCAGAGCCAGGCAGGGCACAGGACCCAGGAGTCCAGGCTCCCAGCCCCTCTGTGAAGGGAGCCCAGAAGCCTGGCCCTCACCATGACCCACCCCACTCCAAAACCGGCACGCCTGGTACTTACTGGGCGATGCCAACCTGCCCGACTCAGTGCCACCCAGCCCCCAGCCAGGTGCGGGGTGGGTGGGCGTGGATGCAGGGCTCTTGGTAAAGATGCCGCTGATGAACTTGAGCATCTTACGGTCGCGGGTGGACGCCCTCCCGCCCTCGCGGCCCCGCTTCAGGCCTGCACCCACTTCAGGGGCACCAGGGCTGGGCGCTGCCAACCCCCCGGGCCCTGGGTGCAGGTCGCTGTTGTCCAGGGTCTTGCTTTTGCCTTTGCGAGGCGACAGCTTGGCTCGAGCCGTGGCACGGGGGGCAGCTTCCGCGCCGCCTGCCTTGGCACCTGCCTTGGCTCGGCCTTTGCCCTCACTCTCGGGCCATGAGAGCCGGTTGCTGCCGGCCTTGGGCGTGCCCTTGCCTGCTTTGCCCTCGCCCCCCACCTTGGCTCCGCTGGTGGTCACCGTCTTGAAGGGCTTGTTGACCAGCCGCAGGCGCCGGGCACCCGCTCCAGGGTGCGGGGATGAGGCTCCGGGACGGCCCACCAGCACCTC